GCCTACATTGTAAAATTATTGGCTGTCAAGGACGCAATCTCGGACCAACGACTCGCCGTTGTCCACGCAAGTCGTAAGACAACACGTTCCTTCCAATCGGTCCGGCTACGGATATACTGATCCACCGCTTTCCTTGTTGAGGGGCGCGCCTGCTTCGCCTCTTATCGCAACGCAACTTTTTTGTAGCCCCAGAATCACCATGTCCAGCGGGGTTAGGTCCATTTGCAACATGGACCACAGCATCCTGGCGTGCTGCAGTCTGGTCGATGGCGCCACGTCAATTTCCATCCAAAAGGCCGCGCAGCTCTCCTCGTTCATCGGCTGTTCGTTCGTGCGCGAGGCAAAAAGTTGTAAATTGCCCCGCTAGAGACATTCTCCGCTCCCACGTTGACGGCGCCCACATTTCTCGAGCCGCCTCGTTTGCTCTCTTCGTGCAGCTGCCTCAAAGCGGGGATGTCGGTGAATCGCCATACCACATTCGAGCGTCGTTGGCGGATAAGCTCCTTTGCCCTTCTCGACCATTGCGTCGGGCAATTCAAGAGATCGGATGGAGTGTCGGCGGTTCTGTGCAACGCCTGTGAGGACTGGTGGGAGGTGATGGAATGGATGAGGCTGCCATCTTCCGCCTTCATAAGCGGCGGGCAGCCCCTTTGCCGTTTTTTGATGGCCGTCTGCGCTGCAAGTAATTCCATCTGGCTGCGCTGCGTACTTTGCACGTAGATGCATCGTGCAAATAAATGTGAAAAAATTGACATCGCAACGATCGCTGTTTTTGCGTAGGCGGGCGCTCAGTCTGGAGAGCGGGATGCTGGGGTCGGATGCCAAAATGAGCTGCAACCGGAATGCCTGCAGTATGTTCCTGCCCAATTTCATGAACTGCTCGGTGGAATCCCGCTCTGCTTCCTGTGCGCGCTCGCACGATACCAAACTGTCAAAGGCAACTTGAACCTGAGCGTCCATTTGATGTCAATTATAACTTTATGCGCTCTTGAGACTGTCGGCAACTCCGCAGATCCCCTCATTCCATATACGCGTGGCCAAAGTGGTGGCTTCCAATGCAATAAAATGCAGTAACTGATCCTCTGGAGCAAAATCTTGTTACAAGGGTAAGGTGCGAAAAGGCAAAGTCACGGTGTGAGAGATATGTGGTTTCCCGAAATTGCCCTGAGAATTTCGGGTGTTGACCCGCCGTCTCTCTCTCCCGTGAGATTGCGTTAGGGAAACGTGGATTCTGGCACGCCCCCAGCCATCAAATGATGCGGTTGATGCGGCTGTGTATTTACGCCATCTTCGTGCATGCGTGAGTGGGGGTTCATCTGGCGGCCCTCTCCGAGAGGTGGGCGGTTCTCGTTGACACGGCGTCCCAGCAACCCGCAAAAAGGCCGCGAACCACCGCAATGTGGGATTCACAAGCCAACAGGTAATTATGCGCCTCTTCTACCTGCAAGTAAAGCTGCGCATTGCGATTCTGAACGTCAGCGACAAACTGCAGGAGCAATTGGGTCTCGAAAATTGGTACTTGAGGCGCCCGGAGGTTCGCAAAGTGCCCCACAAGGGTTGAATCCCCCCCAGTGCTTGGCGATGTCCCCTGAAATCCAGCGTCGGAGTGCCATTGTTGCAGCGACGGTTACCACCACGTCCAACGGCCTGTGCTCATCCATGTAGGCGAGTTGCGCCTGTATATCGCCTTGATGGCGTACCAATAAGAATTCATTCCGTCGCGTTGTAAAGAGGGGATCCTTAACATTTCGTTAAACAAAATTGCAGAAATCCACCGTGGCTGTAATAAAAATGTTGATGAAAATATTTATAAATATCCTATACGTTATTGGTGATTCCTTAATTCCTTCAATCGCGGAAAACCCAAAGATTCACAAAGTATGAGAAAATTGTACAGAGAAATCTTCTTCTTATCAGGACATGTGTATTCATTCAGGCAACCAGCTTTCATCGTGCAAACACAAATTTGCGCACGCTCCAACAAATAAAAAATAAAAAATAAAAAATAAAAACTCCACTCAATAGCCATGAGATTGATTCAAGTCGGTGGAAACAGAGGAAAATGAGTGAATACAAGGGTATCCAAAAAGCCATTGAGATAATGAAGAGAAAGAGGGGTATGTATGTATGTATGTGGGGGAGGGATAGGTCAGTGTACGAATCGATAAGGCATTGAGTTTTCATGTGCGGTTCTCCGCGTCCAAAGGTGTCCTAAGCTTGTGACTCATCATGACAGTGGTGGTGGCGGCAGCAAGAGCAATTCTGCGTGAGTGGAGTGGCATACATGCATTCACATTTCATGCTCTTTCCCTCTCTCTCTCTCTCTCTCTCTCTCTCTCTCTCTCTCTCTCTCTCTCTCTCTCTCTCTCTGTGTGTGTGTGTGTGTGTGTGTGTGTGTGTGTGTGTGTGTGTGTGTGTGTGTGTGTGTGTGTGTGTGTGTGTGTGTGTGTGTATGTATGTGTGTGTGCAAAAGTCCCGGTCGTTGTAAAGTACAAAATCAAAGAAGAAAAAAACAAAAACAAAAACGAGAGGCAAAGCAGGTCCTCTTGCAAGTGCACAAATGCAGTGGAAGATGTCGACAATGCCGCGACATGCACAGAAAAGATCTTCCCGCATGGCAGACAACAAGAACAAAAAATAAATACAAAAAAAAACAAAAAAACAAAAAAGAAGAAGAAGCCCGTGATTCAAAAAATGAGTTTTCACCTCATAAATTTTCGGCGCCACCACGGCGGTGATGTCCCGCGCACAAACTCCAGAAACTTCGTGCAGTCCTCAAAGAGCCCCGTGTCTCGCCCAAGCTCCCCTATCAACGCCACCGAAAAGCCCGCCTCCAGCTGCAGCGACACCATCGGGTTGCCGCCAAGCGAGAAAGGCAGCAGGGGGCCGATGCTGCGCAGACTCCCGTTCACATATGGTTCCGATAGGATGGGCGTTACAATGAGATCAACATCGAGAAACTGTTCCTCCGTTGCCCGCACAACGTTGTCGCGAGTTTGCAGGGCTCGTTGGTAATCAAGATTCGTGAGTGCCCTGCCATTGAAAATGGCTGTCACCAGCCCATCTGGAAGCTCATCCAACAGACCGAATTGCGACATTGTATTGGCGTGTGACGGCGACGACGCCCTGTTTCTATTGTGGCTTGCTGGAGTGAAGAGGGTGTCAAATGCCCGTGAGATTTCATAAAAGAAAATGGTTTGAATGGCATTGACCACCACCTCGATGTCAATGTTTAGTGTTACTGGAATGACCTCCAGTAACTCGTTCTTTCGCATGGCATTTTGAGTCGTGGCAAGACGGAGAATACGGCGACGAAACTCATCGGCGGAAAGCAAACGCTCCTTACAGAGTGTGTCAATCCAGTCCGCTGGGTAACCAACGGACAACTCGATATGACGGCCCCGAAGTTCTTCGTTTGAAGCAAAAGTGTTGATTGCATCCCAACTTTTATAATCCGTGAGACGTGACTGTCTAGCACCCCCACCTCCCCCTCCACCACCAATACCACTACTACCACCATTGTTACTACTGGTGCTGTTGCTGCGGTTACTAGTAATGTTTTTGCTGTTGCTGCTGCCGCGGCCGCTGACACTACTGGCATTATTGTCATGCTCTGTGCCGGCACTTCCGCCAATATTTTTGCTGTTTCCAGTGTTTGACTCTCTTCGATTTTCTTCCTGGAGGTAACTCGGTTGAATCGCTGAGGTAAATACCTCCCAGAGGTAGAAGATATCATCGAGGCGAGCCGCTGTTACACCAATAGACATGGAAGGAATACCCAATTTGTACCCATCCGTAAAGGTCGCAAAGGATTGTGCGGTGGGCTTAAATGCGGCGACATCGTAGTGTATCGGCGACGTCATTGCCGCCGGCCCCATGAGAGCGGATCCAATGGCATAATTACATGCATTCTGATATACCGCCACAGCAGCAGGGCACTCCGGAACAAGCACACTTGCCTCGCCCATCGATAGCGGGGTCTGACAAGCCAACTTCCCAATGAATTGTGCTCCATGGCGACGCAGCCAGGAGACAAAAGAAAATTCCGTATGTGGCATCTGATGAAGCAGCTGCGACTCGGTCCCGTAGCGCGTTCGAAACTCCCGCACATCTAGCGCGTCCGAAACGCCAATGGCAACACCGCTTAACATGCCGTCAGAGGAAAAACTCCGCCCGAGGTCTCCCTCCCCCGCCACCTCCAGAAAACACAACGGCGGCGGTTTCACCTGCTTCGCTTTTGCCGAAGCCCGCCCACTTGCCGTGAGTGCCTCCGCGCGTTGCCGCATTTCCTCCACCACCCGCCGCTGCTCCGACATTTTGTGGTGCAGACGGCTCATTGCCCGTCGAACACTCAAATCCCCAACCATTTCTCTCTTTCTCTTTTTTTTTTTTTTTTTCTTCTCCCTTTGCGTTGCGTCTCAGTTCTCACAGTTTTTACCACCGCCTAAATCCCTGTATATATATATATATATATATATTTATATTTTTCTGTGTGTGTTTATGTGTGTTGCGGCCGTCTCGCTTCAGATGGGAATTCGAATGCCTCTCTTCCCCTTTCCACATGCAAGCTCTCCCCTTCGCCCTCTCCTGCCCTCCTCTCAATGGACGGGAGATTTTTAAAATAATAATAATAATAATAAATATATAAATAAATAAAACAACATGAGAGCAATGATAGATGCACTTAGAGAATATCCATTGGCGTCCATTGGTGATGGCACAGGCCACATCAAAGGTTTTCACAACTAATTAGATACATGCACACAGTACATACATGATATGCGCATTTCAATGTCCCACGTGATGCAGGCGATGTATAAACACACGGAGAAAAAAAGAAAAAGAAAAAAAAAAGAAAAAAAAAGGAAAAAACAACAATATTAACCAATTTCTTTAAAAGTTCCTTCTTTTTTCCCTCCAATTCTTCCTTATTTTCCCCTTGTTTTGTTGTTTGTTTGCTTGTTTTTTTGGTTGGTTGGTTTTTCTTCTCTCGCTCTCCTCTACCACTGGGGAGCCCAACTAGACCAACGATGCGGGGTCTCTGGAGTCCCTAAAAGATTCTCCTGGCTAACAGCAGAACAAATAAGCTGCTTTACTCTCTCTTCAATATTTTCTACTACATCGCAATGGTATTGATCCGCCATTGTGTCATCTGCCTCTTTTGTCGGGGTTTCATGAAACTTAATTGTACTATTTTCGCTGGGATAAAGCTGAATAAGTTCTTCAGAGCGTGTAAATTGAGGATCATCAAAAACAGTAACGATAGGTTCATCAAGCATGGGTATCCGGTCATCCATGAGCTTCAATATGATGGAGGAAACATCAAAAATTCGTGGAGTAAAAGAAAGATGGTGTAAAGTCGTCCTCCTCGCCCCCCATGTATACAATGCTGCGGTATTAATTGTGGAAAAGGACATTTTTCGTGCCGCCTCCATCGCTGAAATTGTTGTTGCTGCCGTTGCTTTTCGTTTCGTCACGGCAACGGTGGCGCCAATGTCTGTGGCCGTCGTCGCGACGGCAGAAGTGCGTTTACGCTCCAACTCACAATTCGCCTCCGATTTTGCCGGTTGCATCAGAGGTTCCTGCACAACACCGCCGCCAGGTATCGTGACGGTGGTCTCAGACACTTTGGTTGGACTCGAGATGAGGGAGAGTCGTTCCACCATGGCGTTCAGACCCATCGTCTGAGCCGCCCCTTCCACAGGCGGAGTGCCGGGGAATTCTCCCAATGACATCGCCACGACAGATAGATTCGTAGAAATATCAGGGGGTTGGAACACAAATGCCGTCGTCACAAGTCGACCAATTTCCCGGTTTGGTACCTCTGGCAAAATTGTCACACTCCCGCTCTCAGTTGTTATGTCCATATCCATGCCATCGCCAGGGGGAGGCTGTAGAAAAAGAGCGCCACGCCAAGCAAAACATTTCATATCTTGAAGGCCAAACTTTGCAATGCCGGCAAGATCACGACTGTAGCGCAGAGTGGAGTAAAGAAACTGTGTTGCCGCGCCAAGAAAAACGCTGTAGGGACATCGTAATGGTAGCGGTGATATAAGGCATCCAGTGAGACGAAAAATTGTTGGATCTGTGCATGGAAATGGCGATTTGTTCGGCGTGGCCTCCTCCACCTGTTCATCCACCCTGCTACACCCGCCTGTTGAGAAACTAGGATGGTGTCGAGACACTAGAGCCCGTGGTAAGGGTTGAAGAGCATGTACCCCAATATGATGCGACGCCACATGACCGGAAGTGACATCCACGAAGAATGTGGTGCTCTCTCGATGCGTTGCATCAAAGAGATACTGCAGCATGCTCCATTCCGCCAACTCGTGAGTGAATAAGTGTACTGCATCTAACCATTCTGCAGCATCGGCGGACGCCGCTTGAAAGGCAAGACGAAGCAGTGGGGCGTACCGAGGTGCTTCTGCCCTGAAAATGGCCATTCGTACTTTAGTGAGAGGTTTCGCCTGGAGTTGCATCATCTTCCACCCCTTTGTACTTGAGGACATGAAGGATGAGCCCCGTCTCTCACCCAGCCGATTCTCCTCATTCCCCGTCTCGAGTGAAAACAAAGGAGCCGCTTCCCTCTCAGCCGGCACGGACCCTTTAGGAACCTCCTCCACTTCTCGCAGGTGCTGCTGTACCGCCTCTGTAATCTCTTCCAAAAGTTTTACCATCTGTGATGCAGGTCGAGGGTATTCCGCCTCCGAAAGTTTATTCGAAGACAAAACGCGGTGTAGAAAACTGCATAGTGGCCCAGTTTTGCCATGATCAAACGCAATTTCAAGTAGACTTTCGTAGCGGGTGAGAAGTTCGCGCCGATTTCGATGAGAACGTGAAGCTCTTCTCGCCCCAATACGTTCCTTCACCTTTTCTTCCTGTGGTGGCTGCGATGGCGTGTCGTTGTTATGAATTTTTCCACTTTGAAACACCCCCTCCTGCTTATGTTGTTGCTGCTGTTGCTGTTGTTGTTCTTGGTGTTCTTGTTGGTGGTGAGGTTCATGGGACTCTTCCGCTTGAATCGGATTCCGGTTCTGAAAATTGGCCTTGTACTTGGATATAATGTGGAAGAGTGATGAGGGTTGACGTAACATGGAGGCTGTGCAGTTAAACTGCAAGGATGGGGGTAGTGTCAGTTGCCAACTGGAGGAATAGGCAGCACGGTCCGGCAATTGGGTGATAAACTCCTGAATGCCAACGGGTAGCACAAGAGGTCGACGCGCGTGACGGATGGGAATATGTCCAAGAAGGCAACATACCGCGGTTTCCATCGCTGCCAAGGGGCGAATGAAAGCTGAATTCTCTACCAGGTCCATGAGAGGCGTTCTGTTGCCTCCCGTCGTCGCAGGAAACGGGTTCGGCTGGGCGCCGCCAGATGCCATATCACTTCCCCCATGTACCTTGAATCTGGAAGATGGAACGGCATGCGTGGCTGTACAAGTGGCAGGAGCAGCCTCCGCCAGCCTTGAATGTGTCTCATGGGGCTCCGTGAGAGAGCATGGCATTGAGATGGCTGACGCAGCCGAGTCCTCCTCCATTCCAATGCTGTGAAAACGCAGTACAGATCCATCCGAAATAAAAAAAAGAAAAATTTCCTCACGCCGACGTTCCGAGGGCAAAGAACAAAGTTTTCTCCGTACATGTAAAACGCGTTGTAACGCCTTACTGCCACTTTCTTGGGCAGTGGTGGGGAAAGAAGTGGTGGTGTTGTTGATGCTGGTTGTCGTAGCGTTGGCGTTATCGTGACTCTTTGAGCCGGTGTCTCGCTCCGTCTGCACATGTTTATCGGTGGTGTTTAAAAAACTCCTTACCGACTTTGGTTGACCCTTCTGCAACTCCAATTCATTCGTATCGACCTCCACCATGCGGTGCTGAAGAAACCAAGTGGGCACCGGCAAGGCACATGCTCCCAATGAGAGTGAGTTCCCTTTGCCACTTCGCACAAACTCACAGAGTTGCATGGTTTGTGAAATTATCGCCTTGTGCTCCGGTCCATTTTCCGCAAGTTTGAGAAGCATGGCGGAGTGCCACTGTTGCTGCTGCTGGTGAGAAGAATGAATGTCACGATGATAACGAGATTGTTGTTGTTGTTGTCGTTGTGGGTGGTCGTGGGTGTCACTCGGGGACTGCGCCCTCCTCCCCTCCTCACGTCGCTCAGAATTTCCCACCGCAGGCATCCATTCAACGACTGTCCCCTGCAGCTGTGGCTGTTGTTGATGCACAGTGTATGTGGACTCGGTGGAAGTCATTCGGGCATGGCAAGGTGTCCTCCTTCTCATGGCGTCATCAACCGCCGTCTCCTCTGCGCCATATGCCGTTGACGCAGGTGCCGTTTTTGCATGCGGGGCAATTAAAGGTGACGAGGAGCTGCCGCATGGGTAGTTTTCCTCATAGTGGAGCGTCTGGTCACGCTTGGCTGCCTCTAGCGCCAAGATAGAGGAATAACGGTGTTCAAAGGTGGATACAAGGTGAAACACACACTGATAGAGCATGGCGCGTGAATGAGCACACATATCACGCACCGCGTCATGAAGCTTACTGTGGCGAGCCGCAGCGTTCACGAGGAAAGGCAAGATGTATCCCCAGTGAAGATACATGGCGGGGGAAAAGTCCAGGTGCGCAAACCCTGCGCCGCGCTCCCATGTCTCGCTTCGGTCCGGCGCTGCCGCTACAGACGCGGCTCGACCCGCATCGTCCCCAAACGTGTTCCTGACGTTCTTATTTTTGTCGCCCACGTACGTACTGTCCATGCCGACCTCCTCCAGCTTCAGCGCAAGGTGAAGCGCCTTCAAAAGAAGATGCACCGCAGGAATTGCGGAGCGCGCGTGGCGAGAGCGCCGTGTGGAGGCGGTCGTGAAGGGGCCAATTCCAGAAACGGAAGTGGAGGCGGCACTACTCCAAAACTGCACCGACTTCTGTAATGCACTAATCGCCTTTTGGGACTGCACACAAAAGTTCTTCAGCGTCTCCGGTTCCTTCGTATTGTTCCACTCGGCGTAGATAGCCATGCACACATCGAACAAAAGCAGACCAAACTCCCGCCACACCGATGCCAAAGTGACGGAAGAGCCAATAATGTGCTCCATGATACGGTATTCACGAAGAAGGACATCGGCTGGATTATATTCATCCTCCTCCCCATCGGGCATGTTGGCATCATGGGAAGAAGAGGTGTGAAATCGTGCGCGCAAAATCATTTCAAGATCACCCAATGAACCAGCACCCATGTGCGGATTGGGCACAAAAAAAGGTGCGGGTTCCAGTGAAATGTGTCGTCGTCGTTCATAAACCGCCTTTAACTTGCGCTGGCACTCAATGTGAAGCAACAGCAACTCTGCCTGCTCCTCACTCACAGGCCCGGATCCAAAAAAGGCATCCACAGGCATTTCCTCAAATTCCTTTCCACGCATAAAACCATGTGCATGCATGAGCCCCCTGCTGCACCTCAGCATCAATCCATCGGTGATTTCATTATGCAGGCACTCCAAATCCCTTGTGCAGAACAAATGCTGTAACTCAATACGATACTTCTCCAGCAGCAACGTGTCACGATATTTCCTTTCCTCTCGTGTGTCATTGTTATCGATGGGAAGAGAATAAAAATGGTTAATGGTCCGCACAGCCCTCTTCGGCATACCTTCCCGCACAATCCGCTCAGAGAGTTCCAAAATGTTCCGCAGCTGCCAGTCCGGAGAAACAAGAGTGCTCCGTAGAGCAATAATCTCGAACCGCTGCAAAACCGTACTGTGTGCAGGAAGAGGCCTTCCAGCAATGTTCTTTAGACGCCGCACTGTTGCCTCGCTGTACGCAACCCTCCCACGCCATCTACTCTGCTGCGGCTCCACACTCTCTCGCACACCATTTGCGCCAGTCGCAATGGAATTTTCTCTCCGGTTCTCAGCAGCACCACCGCTGCTATCACCCCCAACAACATCCCCAACAGCCGTCGCAGATCCTGCGAGATTAGCCATGGAAGCAGCCGTACCCACGACTTTCCCAGCACCATCCCCAAGTCCCGTTTTCAGTTCAATAGCATCTATGCCCTCTTCAAGGTCAGATATCTGCTGAAACATGATATTCAGCTCAAACTTCATTCGGGCATTCTCTGTATGAAAAACGGCGTATGATTCCCTTAAAGCCGAACGCAGGGCACTTAACACTCCCTTTGCCTCTTCGTATTCCTTTGACGCGGTGAGAGCGGCGGCACGGAATATCTCCATCTGTTTGTAAAAGGAAAAGTCTCCAAAGCTGGGGGCGTATCGGTCTCGCTCGTCCCGCTTGTCGGCAAACAAATGATTGTAATCGATGTCCTCTACAAATTCCCAGCGAGAGAGAGCCTGTGCGGCCGACACAACATACCGTTTAATATGTGGGATCACAGGCCCTCCAGTTGAGGGTGCCCATGCCGTCCCCAACAATGCACGCTGCAATGATTGCTGCTGCTGCTCCTCCTCTACCGTTAACGCCGATGCCCACTCCTCTTCAGGGGCCAGTGGAAAACCTTTAATCCTCCTCCACATGTTTATAATACTCTCAAAGTCATAAACGCGCATGTAACAACGCATCGCTCCCACAACATCGTTTGGAGACAAAATCGGTCTCGTTGAGGATGCAGAAGTCGTGCCCCTCTCGCCACCAGAAAGAATTCGTATAGTCGTCCAAATAGATCGCAGGTACTGACGTGAGGCCGCTTCAAACCACCCCAACTCAAGAAAAAGTGGAGATGGCATACATTCCTCTTCATCCCCTTCCGCAACAGGTTCAAGGGCAACACATGCAGAAAGAACATCACCCTTATCACTGTCTAGATTTTGCCGCATTTCCCATGGTAATTTCTCTGTGGAATGATTGCATTTCCCCACGCCTGTCTTTTCGTCAGTGTTGGTAATACCCTTCCGATACTTACTTCTTGTGGCATGTAGCAATTGATATGCGGCATGACGAATACGAGGATCTCGTGAGAAGCAACGTGGGTCGTTATCATATTTAACATCCCCCAATGCCATCAGCAGACGTGCCAGTGCTTCCCATGAGAAACCCGCGAGAATCTGCTGCTGAGTGTATAACAAGAGGAGTGGCGGATTAAGGGCACGTTCGGCAAGCACTACCAGAAGGTCCAATGTAATGTAATTCTGCTCAATGGCCCGCGCAAGAGGCCTGGAGAAAAGAGAGGAGCTGTATAAACGAATGTGGTGCGCCAAACGTGCCAACTCCGCGGCGATAATCTGCGGTAAATAATCGTGCATATGAACAAAGTCACATATAAGCCGCATCCATCGTCGCACAACCCTGTCGTCACACTTTGTGAGGTGTGACAAAAACGCTATGGGTAACAAATCCGAAGAAAAAATTGTAAAATGCCGTCTCACAAGCGTGGAACAAATGCTGACACACACATGATCACTGCTTTCTACAAGCATAGTGCAAAATAGCTCAAACCACGGTCGCCACTCGCTTGCGGAAAGGTTCTCATGCTGCAAAAAGAATCGCTGCTCCTCCGTCTCATAGCCCCCATCGTCGTTATCATCATCGTGATCATTCATATCGGCGGCAGCAGCGTCCTGTCCCTTGTTGTTGTCCTCCCTCTCCATGGACGGAAGGGGGCGCTCTTCTCCTGGAGAAACCACTCCCTCGATCGCAAAGTTCACAATGCTGTTGTTTCCGCTTGAAAGAACGTCCGGTTGACGTTTCAAAACCCGCTGCCTGACAAAACTGCCACTTCCAACAGAAACGGCGGGAGGGAAATTGGAAGCCGGACGAGAGACACTGTACGTGCCGCATCCTAACAATGAGGAGTTTGTCCCTCGCATACTGCCCCGTCCCGATTCCGGTGTGACTTCTCTGGCTAGCAAAATTTGTGTCACACTATTCACACCGGATGTTGTTAAGGTCGCCAACGACGATGACACAATCGGGTGCGAGGAGAAAGACGCGGAGCGCGAACTTCTGAGTGGCTGCTTCCGCGCCCGAACTGGAATCGGAGTAGAGTGTGGTGGCGCCTCACGCCTACCCAAGGGGGAGATGTCATCACGGAGTCCGTCGGCATGAATCCCCAGCGACACCGCCGACTCAAGCGCCACGGCATCCAAATTTACATGGCCCAGCAAATGATGTGCACTCCCTCCCCCCCGCCCTTCCTCCTCTTTTGAGTAGCTTGATGGCGGCGGCTGCGGTGGCGGTGGCTGTGGTGGCTGTAGTGACGCTTGTGGTTTCTGAGCTCCCAGAGGCAGCAGGCACAGGCGGTAGTGTGGTGATGTGACGTTGCGAAAAAAACTCACCACCGGACTGTCCGGATCAAAACGTTCCTTCAGATATTCACCAATCATGAGGTCGTAGGACACGGCTGGCAGCCGGCAACGACCAGCCACAACCAACACACACGCGAGAAGGTCCATTTCAACGGGCGACTCCCATGATGTAGTTGTCTCCCGAAAAGGAAAAGAGCGGGTATAATTGACCTCGGGGTCGTCGCCCGTGGTTTCCTGCATAATCACCACACGCGCTAACGAGGAACAGTTGAACCACACCTTCTGATCACCACGGCGTCGTCGTAGCTCCTGCTCCAATGAACTTCGATTCATAACAGACGCCAATTGAACGTCGCTCACCTGACGCCGCGACCACGAAAACTGCCGTCTCCAATGACAATCCGGGTCATATCGTCGTTGTTTTTGTTGTTTTTGTTGTTGCGCATAATTTAATTTCTGTTGTTCTTGTTGCTTCTCGGCTAAAACCTGCAGCATTGCCTTGTGGGCCTGTGCATAATGCCATAGCTGCAGCAAGACACTTTCTACAACCGCCGTAGCCTTTGTTGTCATGTCACAGTCGTTCAAAAAGTCCACCAGAACCTGTGCAATATCATGACTCACGTCCGCGTCAAAAACTGAGGTGGTAGCGGCAGAAAAAGAGAGAGAGGAGGTAGAAACGTGCAGCGCGCCGTTATAACCCGCCAGATCCAGTGGAGCAGATGTAATTGCGGGATTTCGCAACAGCTGTGCAAGAGCCAAGCAGGCGGACTGGACGGCTGACTGATCCGCAATGGGAAGAAGGGAGTGGATCGCCTTCAGTACCTCACGTATCACGCTGGTTGCCGTGTTCATCTCCACTGCAGTGGCATGTTTAATGGAGCAGACGTTGCAATGTCGCTGCTGCTGTTTGGAGCTTCTAGAGGCCGAAGAAATCTCCCCAAGAAGTCGCATCAACTCACCAAGAAGAAGCGAAAGAAACCTCTCGCAGTGCTCCTGCGCCAAATCAGGGACGGCTTTGCAAAGCGCCATGAGTAGCTTGCAGCAGCTTGGAAGCGCATACCATGAGAACACCCAGTGTTGTTCAAGAAAAGCCACCAAGAGTGCGTACATGGGTGCAATTGTGCGACCAGCAACTTGCACAAGTTCCGCAAGGTTTTCCATCGTTGACACACGCAGCGGGGAATCCGCCCCATCACGGGAGAATAAGCCCGCAAGAGCGCTCAGAAGTGAAGGCATATAATGCTCCAAACTCCTCAAGGTCCCAATCTCACGCAAAATGGCCACGGTTGCCTGTAAACACGCCCCCAACTCCTCATTCGTAAAGGTGAGCACACCGTTAAGTGCCTCAAAAAAGGTTCGGAGGAGTACACGTAAAATGATATCGGGCCACATACTCTCTGTAAATCGCGTCCGCGGCTTTTCGCATGACCGATTGTCTAAAATCACTGCCTCCACATTGGTATGAAATAGAGATGGCAACCGGCGTTTGTACTCGGGGCGTCCAAGAAGCATAGCTGTGTCGTGGCCATCTTCCCGTTGATTGTAGTAGGGCTCGATGGAACTGATGGTGCCAAGTAGCTTCAGTACTGACAGCGATAACTCAGAACCAATCGAGGGTTTTTGGTGTAACAATGAGTGTAAACTTCCAATAATCGTCTGTAGATGTGATGTGTTGTAAAAGGGTTTCGTAACAACAAAGTATTGAACCACTTTTTGTAGGGTACCAATGGCCGCATGCAGGCGTTCAGCATCACCGTCACGGAGCAGCAACTGCCCCGCAAGAAGCTCCAAAAGAAGTTCAAATTTAGTCCACTCCTCACGTGTACTTTCATCCATAAAGTACGATAGCATATGAAGGGCTATAATCACCGTACCCCGCTCTGCTGTGTGGTGTGGTAAGAGTATTTCCCGCAATAGCCGTAGTATACTATCCAAGTGAAGTGAAATAGAGTGTGGAACGGCCTGGACCAACTCAAAGAGTAACTGCAGTTCTTCTGCAGTGATGTTTACCGTTGTGTTCACCTTCCCTTCATGTTGAGAATATGAAAGGAAAATACGATCCTGAAAATGACGTAACATCTGCAAAAATAACTTCCGCAGCCGTGGGTAAACGACGGAATAGGTGCATTGTGCAATGCGACGTAAAATGCGGACCACCTCCAGCCGGTTGGGCAAATATGCGTCGTTGAAGGCGGCAAAAAGTAGATCTAAGATTGCTGCATCCGTGCATAGGAATTGATCCGTCTCCACTGTGAGGTTTTTAAGTGCCACGTGGCGAATGGACTCCTCTGGGTCGCACACGGCAACCTCGACAAGACGATGGAGGACTTCACGCAAGGTGTTGATATGAGATCGACCCGTGTGTCGATCACACGTCACCGCCACATCTGGCTCCGGCGAAAAAACCGGGTTGCTGTTCCTTTCGCTATGACTGGCCATCTTCGTCGTGGTGTCGGGCATCCGCCTCCTCCTGGTGGCTGCGGCGACAGCGACAGGAGAACTATTCTGACGTCGGTGCAGACTCCCTGTGAGTGCCGATCGGTAATCGGGCTCCGGACCCACACCCCGCGTGTTCATCATCGCCTTGGCAGAGTGAATTGTTGCGTGTTCCGTGCTATTGTTGATGCCTGTCAGAAACAGACGTCGTGGTCGACATGTTGCCCGATGGATACGTCCACCCAAAAAGGATCGTTTGCCTGTCTCCTGTGGGATGGCATGGAAGCAATCAGAAAGAAGAAGATTCACACATGAAAGAACGCATTCCCGACGCAAGGGGGCATGACGATGCGACATGTACGGCATGCACACCTCAAGGAAAAAGAAGGCGGTCCCTTCCCATTCCATACAAAACCCCTGTAACACACGAAAACATGTGATCTTTTCCTCTAAATTAAAAAAACTTTTAGCCAGCAGCGTGGTGGAATCATCAAATGATTCTGAAGAAGTTTTCGTCTTAGCTTTCTTCCCATCACGCTTTGTATCGCTGCCGCCATCCACACGAGAGCCCTGCCTTGCACCGCACTCTGTAAGGACCTCGGCAATGCGTTGTAGCAGGGCAGTCTGACACCTTGGTCTTAGTTCCTGATAAATATCGCAAACCTTCGCAGCCATGCCCGTCATTTCAGTGGTGAATGGAGCCGAGAGGGCCAACTCCGTCAGTTGCTTCACAATTGGATGAAACCGTTCAAGAAACACCTCAGGAATGTTATGTACGAGCAAAGCAAGAACGGGAAAAGCGGCTGGGCAGTATTTCGGTGTGTCGTGCTGCAGCGCGCTAAACAACAGGGGATAAAATTGCCGCATAACAGTCGCCTGAAAAATGTCGGGGTGGGAACTGGCAATAGCGGCAAGAAAAAGCCCAATATTTATAAGCGCAAGACTGCGAATTTCATTCCCGCGGTATGTTGCCGAAAAGGCAGTGCCCCGATGTAGCTCCTCACCACCAGCACCACATGGGGGTCCTTGAACAGGATCGCAAAAAGCCACAACAGCACGGCCAATGAGTAAACGCAACGCCATCCCCACATCCTCATTACTCAGAATAAATGGGTTGTAAAGAGCTAAAATAGGCAGTAGACGCTCGGTATACAATGAAGAAAATGGATGGGATGGAGGTGTCAACGGAAGCGCTGCCTCGTGTGTGGCGTGAGAGTAGCAAAGTGCCAACAGCTTACGCAGTGTATGAGGGGTAATGAAGTTCTCCAACTCTGCCATCTTACGGCCTCCGACACACATCTGCGGTGATAACTGTCGGGCGTGACGCTCCCCAGAATCCGTCCGACGTGGTTTATGATGGGAATGATGATGATGATGGTATTGCCGATTTTGCTGCACGGGGTGCTGCCCCAAAGCGTCGTCAGAGGGAGGGGATAATACTTCTCCCTTTGCTATTCCCTCGTCCCCTCCAGCCAAAGGTGCCGGCACCATCACTGTTTCTGGTGCAGCAGCCGCAACCGTGGTGGCGCTTCCCTTTCTGGGGTTGGACAAGCTACGGTGCATCGGTACGGTCTTATTCCCCGGGGAAGAAAGCAACGAATGTCGATTTCGCAAAAGAACAGGCGCCGTTAGTGAGCGGTGGCCCATGGAAGCAGAGCTGCGAAGACTGAGCCACTCCACCCCGTTGTCTTCATTATAATCATCATCCTCTCCATCCTCGGCATCGTCCTCCTCCTCCTCCTCCGCCTGATGGCGCCGCGCATATCCCGCAAAGTCATCCGTCTCACTGCTATGCGACATGTTCTCCATATGATCGTCCTCAGAGGCCAGCGGTAAGTCGGAGGCATGGCGGCCGGAAGGCGTCTCTTTTCTCCCACCGCAAACGTTAGCAAAACAAAAAGAAGAGGAACCACAGAGACGTTGTTGTGAGGGGCCTATTTCTCCGGCGTTTCTCACTGCTGTTGTTGTTGTTGTTGTTGTTGACGTCGTTGCGGCCACCCCTGTTGTTCTCCGCGTGGGGTGGGGCGGCGTCGCGAGATCTGTGGCAGTTAACTGGCCCTCTGAAAAGTCCACAACGGATGGCTCCCAATTTGGAAAGCAGGACCGCACGGCACTCACAAACGCGCCCACGACAAGTGTCCCGGCATGAAGAGCGGTCTCACGATCTTGTGGTGGTGGTACTTGTGAGAGGCGTTTCTGCAGTTTCCTCTGCGTCACAAATGAGGCGCCGCTCCGTGTGCCGGAAAAGACCGGAAACGTTAAACAAGAGCCAACAGAAATAGCCGAATCCCGCTCCACGCTTGCCGCCGCAGTATCCCTCAGACTCACAACAGTGTTAACAGATGAACTTCTTAAGCCTTGACTCACCCATCGACGTCGTTCAGAGATGCCAAAGAGACTTCGACCAATCGTCACAATCCTCCGCTTGAGTTGAGCAAAGAGTTTTAAAGAGGCACCCGCACCAGAGCCTTTTTTGTTCGTTACTCCACCAGCAGCTTTTTCATCACCACGCCGATGCTTCGTCAAGGCCGGTATTGAAGTAGCCTGCGGTTGTTTTCCAGCAGGAACGGTGGTAGCATCACGCAGTCCCTCATCTCCAGGCGGATATTGTGGAGAGGGCAAAAGAGAAAAAGAGCCTGGCAACTCCGCCTTCATCTCAGGGACGAGCAACAACGCAATGGCATGTTGAAGTACGCTATTGACAGAACGGTAGTTCCTTTGTTCCAAGGCAATAACAAATAACGCACGTAACGCCTCCGCCGCAAGTTCCCGAATAAATGCCGGAGATCCATCGTTCGTTATCGCCGTCCATGTGGCTAAGAAAAGCGAGTCCCTCTCATTGGATAAAAGGGCTCGGTAAAGCGATGTCGGCCACAGCGCTACATGACGGATAATGACAAGACCTGTCAGTTGCTCAGCCAATGTATTGTCGTAAAGCAGAAAATCACACGCAAGTGAGATAAGCTCCGATGTGATCTTAAGATACACAGACGAGCTTGCTTCGATGACATGTAACTGCCCCCACACCTCCATGGCAAGTGTTACTATAGACATGCGGGCTGTTGGTAAACATGTACGAAGGTGGTTAAATAAAATTGTGACACGTTCATTTTTACTTGCAAACCGCCAGGAAATGGTCCGAAGAATGACATGTAACGCGAGTGCACGCTCTCCATGACCCGCAAGATCACGTAGAAGAATGTTGAGGCGATTCAAAATCGCATCGCGGTGGTCACTTGGTCCTGCAGATGCACTCGAGGCGGGGGCGGAAACAGTCTCCGCATTCGCCGCTCGTTTTCCCAGAGAATTTGAGGCGTTGGCTGCGGAACCCCGTTCATGCATGAAGAAGCGATTGAAATGCTCGACCAGCCCTACCAATGCATTAAGTCCTCTTTGATAATTCCTTTCCAGCGCCTCGTAGGAGTCACCGCCGTCGGTCAATGGCGGCTGTGGATAATTTGCAAAGACGTCGATCCGGTCCGGAGAAAGGGGATCCGCATGTACGCCAGAGTGGCGTAAGGAAGATGATGCACGAAGGCCATGTAATGAATGGGCATGTCCAAATGCCTTGCATGCAGCTCCTTTGGTGTGGCAATCTGACTGGCATTGCTTGTGTGCAAATGAGCGACGCGCCCTAAGAACACTGCTGGCACCTTCTACAAAACGTCGTTGTGTCTGTCGTCGCATAGACGTATATCCCCCTGTTGCCGCAGTTCTTGCTGTGGGTGTCACTGTTGTTGACGCCATACCAGAGGGCGCGACCAGAAGCGCATGTGTAGCAGATGACATGGTTGCGCTTCCCATCGCCAACTCACTAAAATACTGCAGCAGCGGAGGGAAAAAGTGCTCTTCTTCGTAAGGCATAGACTGCATCGGCCGCCTCCTATGCGAACTGCTGCTGGTGGTGTTCATATTATCATGGGCCTCCGTCAGCGCCTCCCACAGAAACGAATTGGGCGCCGCGCTCCCGTCCGTCTCCCGTGCGCCCACGTCCACCGCCTCCGTGGAGTTGCTGCCGCAGGAGAGATCGTGGCACCGCGACTGGCGTGGCGAGCAGAGGCTTGATGGGGTGAAGAACACCCGTGCAAGAGCGTCCAGCCGTGCCGCCATTCGACCGGGGGACACGGAGGAGCAAATAAAAAAAAAGTTTTTTTGTGCGTCTGGCAATACACAAAAATAGCCAGACGGAAGAAACAACCCCCCCTTTTTTTTTTGCTTTTTTTTCTTTTATTTTTTTTTCCTTTTGTTGTGGTGGTTGTTCCCTCCCGCTTTTGTTGACGCCCACACAGAGAGACGCTGGCGCGCAGAAGGAAAAAAAAAAAAGCGGGAAAAAAGAGAGAATAGAGGTCCATCGTCATAAAAATACTCAAAAAAATTCAAATGCACGCACAGCTTCACTGTAGAAGCGCCTCCCTCCCACACAACCAAACACACATTTAAAATATATATATATATGCCCCCTCCATTTGTGTGTGTGTGTGTGTGTGTGTGTGTGTGTGCATATTGGATCGATAAACACGTACATGTCTCATATACTCCACGACGCAACGCCGTCCATGAATAAATCCATCCAAATACAACATCATACTTCACCGTCGTGGTCACCGTCTTCGCCTCCCCTCGTGTGCAGCGAAATAAGCACCGCACACAAATACAAGGAAGGAGAGTGAGAGGGGCGAAAGGGAGAAGAATAAAAAGACGTTGTTGTCAGCGATTGTATTCATCCCCGGCACGTATTCCTTGTAACTGCGGCAACGACTTGGTGGATGCCTTTGTTCGCTTAAACGACGCCTCAAGATCCGCCACCTGATCCGCGTACCGCGCCACACTTGCATAATGCTCCTGTAGATCGCCAGATACCTGAGACTGCAGCCAATTGTAGTGGCGGGCGCAGCACATCACTGTCACCGTCATGCCGACAGCAAAGTACTTGGAGAAGCACGCCAGGCGAACACCACTCATTGTCGAAACAACCGCTCTTTTTTTTCTTTTTTCACACAAACACACACAAGCAGACGTCTCCTCCCTCTCGATCCTTCACTTTCCTTCTCCCTTCCCCTCCTCCTGTCTCTTGTCTGCGTGGTCGCTGATTGCTTAGCCACGGCGGGGCACCGCAATGCAATACAAAAAAGAAGAATGGGAGGCCAACGGAACTAAACGCGCCTCAACCCAAAGAAATAAACCAAAGGGGCCACCATTAAAGGCAGCAAAAAAAAAGGAACAAAAAAAAAGGGAAGTGGACACACAGACACAGAAAAAAGAGAGAGAGAAAGAGAGAGGTCAAACAAACACCATTTAACAAAAGGAAAAAGACCGTCAACGGTGGGATACGGTAAATCAAACCAACACAAACCAAAAGAAAATTTTAATAATAATAATAATAATAGTGTTTTTAAATAACTCAATTATTTTTCAGTTTCTTCGTCTTTTTTTTTTCTTTCCGTTTCTCTTTTTTTTTTTTTTTTGTTGTTGTTGTTAGCCCTTCACTGCCTCTGTTTCCAAAAACATACGGGCAGAGACAGGCACACTACAAACAAACAAACAAATATATATATATATTCATGTTTATATGCTCTGGCTTTGAGAACATGTATTTAATGCTGCATCCCATATGCAGTAGCTACGCGTTTACGTGAGTGCGTGTGGATGTGTACGTGGGTTTGTGAAGAGGGAAATAGAGAGAGAAAAAAATAAAAATATAAATATAAAACCGACCTTGTGGATCTTTGCATCTTACCTGGCTTCCTTCTTGCGGAAGGTAAAGCACAACATGGCGGGATCAAATGGGTACTCCACGCTGACTTTATAGCCCTGCAGCGCCTCATCATTGTCACAGACGGTAGCAAAGGAAGCTAATGACGCGCCCACCGCTCTGGCAGTTCTTTCCATATTCTCCACATGCGTTTGAATGGCACGTTTTCGTGCCTTGTCAAGTTCCTTTGACGCTATAAGCTGCTTCAGTATTTCCGCGGCGTTTACGGCAATCTCACTGGCCTTTTGAGCATAAAGGAAGACTGTGCTCGTGTCGGCGTTTTGTTTCGTGCTGATGTCGGGTTTTGCAGCGATGCAGCGGGCGTATGGTGTGAAGGGCGGACTGCGAATGTGCTGAAGGCATTTCATGCGATGATTAAATGTATTCTCCACGGTCATGAAGGAATGCTTCGCGGGGCTTGTCAAGTCAATAAGACCCTTCGCCTCCATGATGCACGCTGCAACAAAGACGGCATCGGCAATCATGCGTTCGGCCTCAAGAATCGTGAGACGCACGGTGTCGGGATGTCCGCTGGTGCGTGTCGTGAGGGCGAGGTTGTACAGCGGCACCTTGGTCCTGCGGTTGATGCGTGTCTCTGGAATCACGGTGGCAGGTGGAGGCGTCAGCAAGCCAAGGTTTTCAATTTGCGCCCTCTGCGTGAAATTCCAGTACCAAAGAGCCGGAATCAGCTCTGCCTGGGTAAAGAGGTTCAGCTCCAACGTCAGTAAGACAAGAAGCTGAATGACATGGAGAACATGTTGGTTGACGTAAATGGCAAGAATCGGCATGCGTTTGGCCGCCTCCGCCTCCAGTGCCGGAGAGGCGGACGGGATGTGGGAAAGAAAAACGGATTTGTCGGTGGTGTAAGACAACTCCTGCAGAGATCCCAAATGTGGCAACGCATTCATGAGGCGACGATGGGCAAGGCCGCGGTTACACAGCATGGCCTCGAGGTGAACCAGATAAACCCTTGACATCTCAGCTGCCCAAGAACGCACGGCGTCCACGGTTTGCTGCCGCAAGAAAATTAATTGATCCGGTGGAATTTTCGAGGAATCCATAGTTTTTTGGATGCGGTACCTCAGCACACCCTCCAGCATCTCCTCATCGCCCGCAAAGATTTTCAGATACAACGGGGCACCATGCTCATCCGCCAGCTCTTGCAGAATGCGATGCGGCATCGATGGGCCATGCAGAAACGACTCACTCGGGTCATGGCGAAAGAGCAAAATGACAGCTACGGATCTCATAAGCAGCAGTGGCTTCCGTGCACCCAACGCCTCCACAAACTCCGTGATACACTGCAACGAGGGCAGAATGAAAAGATCCTTTAGTGATGCAAGTTGGCTTAACAGAGTTTTGTATGCCTGCAAGGCCTCCGCAAAAGGAGCGCATGGTAGCGGTTTTGTGGGAGTGAAGGAGCTGGCCCAGTACCCTACCTCCGCATCACGGAAGAACCTGCCGTCCTGCACAGGCTCCGCCTCACGTCGAAATTCAACAGAACCCAAAAGATCGCATGCCTCTTGGCAAGTGGCACACGCCTTCTCCGTATCCGACTTCTTACTGCCAAGAATAAAGCCGCTCAGAATGGAGAGAAAAAGCTTCCGCCACCGCAGTCTTGCCGCAATGGCGACGGACTCCGCCTTGCATGCGGCCTCTTCCAGTTCGTTCATTATTTGTTCCTCCGTCACATCCTCCCCGGGATCCAGTGCCTTGAACCATGGAATAAACTCCTCATCACTTCGAACCCTCATGGTCATCACCGCACGCGTCGTCAAATCTATGCATCGGGCAAGAGCACGGCAGTAGGTGTACAGCGTTAAATTCTGCTCTTTTAACAAATCCATGCAAAAAAAATAAGAAAACTCAAGACAGCCGGAAGTGAGAGAAAACCCCTGCAGATAATTTAGTTCCTTCAGGTGAATAAGGTCCATGACATCTAACAAGGCCTCTCCTGTTAACGTGGCTGCAGACGGGATTGTGCCGTCCTTCAAGAGGCAGTTGAGGGAGCAAATAGAGCCGTAGCCGCAGCCGGGATCCGTCTTGGCGTCCATCACCTCCGGTGCACTAAAGCATCGTCTCCTTTTCAACGCCCTCGCAGG